CAACTGGAGAGACCACAAATGGAAAACTTCGGATCCATTTTTGTTTTCAATAAAAATCTTGTCTCACAGCATCATGAATATTCATGCTTTCGGCTTACTTCCAAATAAAAACAAGAGAAGCCAGATGAAACAAGAAAGAAAAAAAAAAAGCAGTTCACTCAGCTGCACAAAGGTTTGAAGGACAAGATTTTATGTTTTAAGACATGTGCATCTGTTAAAAAAAAAAAAAGAGAGAGAGAAGAAGAAGAAAAAAACAAACTTACAATAATCAGAGCATGAAAAGCGCCAGCGTCGACATCAGCGTTTCTTAAATTTCGGTTATTTCCTCACCGACTTTGCAATGTTTGCCTTATCTGTGGGCAATCGTCTCATTGTTTATGTAATCTTTTTTTTTTTCTGTAAATGGATTCAATGCAACCGATTTGTAAATAATCTCACCTCCACTCTTATCTATGTTTTAGAACCTATTTATAATTTTCTTATACATGATAAAACACATTGTAATTAATAAAATGAAAGACACATGCCCAAGTAGTAAGGAAAGTTTGGTGTGTGGCCATTGGGAACTCTCACCCCACTCAGAACGAATCACCCACCGAAACATTGGGCATTTCGTTGTGAAGAGCCTTCATGCTCAGGCCAAGGTCATTGAGAGCTGAACCCACGTGGGAGGGGCTCTGGGATAGAGCGGTAAGAACACAGTCTAACTTCAAAGGCTTGCCCTCTAGTGGGACTCCAACTATAAAAGGAATCGGGCCCGCTCTACCATTTGTTCTAGACATTGGACACCCAGAAGGCAGGGCTGAAGGCCAGGCTTCCGTATGATCTGCGCTATCCAATATGGCAGCCGATATGCTAGCCCCACATGGCTATTTAAGTTTAAATGAATTAAAATTAAATATAATTCAAAATGTAGTTCCTCCACTTCAGTGGCTACATTTCAAGTGCTCGGTCACCACTCAGGATGAGAGGCTGTTCTGCTGTGTGGAGCACAGATATGTGGGCCATCTCCACCACCACACAAAGTTCTACCAACTAGCTCGTTCCAGAAACCACATTCTCTCCACACCCAGGAGCTAATTCCAATAACTCATCTGTGAAACTCAGGGCCCCACATCCTCTATAGGCACACGGAGATCCATCCCCAAATCTTCAGAGACATTGTGGCTATTTCCCTGGGAGATTCTGGAATCTTCTGAGTATTAACCTTAATTCCTTTTTCCAGAAGGTGCCTCTTCCTGCTTCTGTCTGTTAAATATCCCTTCGTCTCATGCCAGAGTGTCCACGTGGAGCTTTCCGGCCACTTCACCAGGGAGCAGCAGCCTTATTCACTTCACTTACACAGAGTTAAGAAGACACCTGTCCAAAAAACACTGCTATTTTTGAGATACTGGGATCATTTACAGCATTATTATCTTGTGCTCTGACAGGCACACTGTGATTCAGACACAGCCAAGTTCTGATAAGACAGCGTCTTCACACGTTACATATTGGAAAACTATTATTACTTCCTCTGTAATGGAATCATGATAACATCAAACAAGAATGAGGTTTCGTCTTGGCTTTGGTCCAAATGGAGAAGTCATCCTAATAAACTGGAAACAGACCCAAAGCCCAGACTAATAAGAAGGTATCTGGTCGGCTTTTTCTAGTGGTGGAATAGGTTAACACAATTAACTTGATGAAGCCAAGGACTGAAACCCGGCGGCTACGAAATGCTGAAGTCTGGATCGTAGGCGAAAATGCCCCCAGGGGCCAGGAAAGTAATTTAAGCGAGGCGGCTGTGGGGAGGTTCTGGAGGGAGTGGGGGACCCTGATGGAGGGAACAAAAGCCCCCCACCCCCGAGAGTTGACTCCAAAATCTCAGAGCAGAAAAATGGGCTCAATGTTAAGATCTTCTGACCTTTTTTTTTTTTAAGAGAACACAGAAAATCAGCTTCTTAAATAAAATTCATTTTTAAAATTCTAGGCACAGCCAACAAAACGTCCTCAGGTCTGCAGACTCTAAGCCATGTACTAAGCAATGTTTTCTTTTCACTGTATTTATTTATTTTGAGAAGAGGGAAGGGGCAGAGAGAGAGAGGGAGAGAGAGGATCCCAAGCAGGCTCCATGCTGTGAGCGCAGGGTCCGTCCTGGGGCTCAAACTCACGAACCATAGACTGTGACCTGAGCTGAAACCAAGAGTCGGGCCCTTGACCAACCTAGCCATGCGAGGCGCCCCTCCTAAGTCGTGTTTTGATGAATTGGGTCGTAAAGGAGAAAGAAAAAGTGTGATTTCGCGATCAGGTTATCCCTCGTGGCAGACTGTGGCAGTGGCCACGGTTCTTGCCTTCCCTTGCCTTGCGCCCCGCTCTGTTTAGAAAGCAATGGAAATAACGATGCGAATCCAGGGGCTGCTGGAATCGGGCTCATCCTCGTTTGTGAGCCTACATGTTAAACCCTCAGGAGTTCTTACAAGGCGGATAGTAACTTGAATGGGGGAGGGGGGAATTTACGCCACAGAAACAGGCCAGCGCTACAGATAAGAGCTGCCTCTCCCCCTTCCCCGAGACGTTATCAGACGCTCATCAGCTTATGTCTGCATGAGTCTCTTACACACCAATCCAGGCATCGAATGCAGTCCCTTCTTTCTTTCTCTTTTTTTTTTTTTTTTTAAGTTTAGTTACTTATTTAGAGAGAGAGAGAATGAAGGAGGGGCAGAGAGAGCCATCCCCAAGCAGGCTCCAGCACAGAGCCCGACATGGGGCTTGAACCCACAGAACCCATGAGAGCATGACCTGAACAGAAATCAAGAGTCAGATGCTTAACCGACTGAGCCCCCAGGTGCCCCCAGTCCCTTCTTTAATAAGAAGAATCGAGGAGCCCGAGATCCCTTTGTAAGGAGCATCTCCAATACCCGGTAGGGAGTCTCGACGGGTTTTTCAGGACCTAGAGAGGTGAGAGATCTTGGACCCCGGGATCCCCTATTTTCTTCATCCACACATACACGCAGCTACGGCCCCACTTTCAGAAAACAGTAGTGCAAGTGCCCCACTGGCAAACTATGAAGGCATTAGCGTATTGATTTTAAGACGGCCATTTCTTACGGCATCACTTTTTAGTAAGGACCGGACATGGCTCCAAGCGCCTGGAATGCGCAGCCCCCAGAAGCAGGGACCCCTAGAAGAGGGGCGGCATGCGGGGCGATGGCAGCCAGAGCGGCAGAATTTAGTCGAGCACGGAGCCAGTCTTCTTCAAGGGCTGCCCGTGCTGTTTCTTTCATGGCAACCTGGGGTCCAGTCGATTGATGCTGGCTTGATAGTCAAATGAATGAATGAATAAATGAATGAATGAATGAATGAATGAATGAATGAGATGGAGAGATTCAGATGTTCAGATGCCTCTGGGAAAATGAGAAGAAGGGCATCTTATGATCGGGGAAGGCTGCTGCTCCCGTGCATGTGGTGTTGAGGGCCAGGCGCTGGCCTCGGCCCACCCGAGGATGGATGCTCGGCTCTTCCTGAGAGATGAGTGTACTGCAACCCATTGAGACTCCATGTCTGCAGCTCACGGTGCACCCGCCGTGGCCGGGATCCAGAGCTTCTCCATTCGGAGACTTGACCGCAGCAAATGCCTTCCGACCTTCTATGTGATCGCTCTGGGAGTCTGACCGTCCCCCGAATTGGTGGTGATTTCGCCCAGGCAGTGGGCAGAATCACGACTTCCCTCTTGACCCGTTACACATTGGACCACGCAGTCGTTCTGAGCTTATTTTTCATAGCATTAGGGAAATAGGGATATACAAGCATACTCGTTTTATTGTGCTTTGCAGATGTGGTGTGTTTTACGATCTGAAGGTCTATGGCCACTCTGCCTTGAGCAAACCTGTTGGTGCCATTTTCACAACAGCATTTTGCTCACTTCCTGTCTCCACGTCACATTCTAATAATTCTTCCAATGGGCCAAACATTCTCGATACTAGTATATTTGTCATGGTGATCTGTGATTAGTGATTACCAATTGTGGAAAGCTCGGATGACACCATTTTTTAGCTATAAAGCGTTTGTAATTAAGGTAGGTACATTTTTTTTAAATGTTTTTATTTATTTCTAGGAGAGAGAGAGAGAGACAGCGTGAGCAGGGGAGGGTCAGAGAGAGAGGGAGTCACAGACTGAAACAGGCTCCAGGCTCTGAGCTGGCAGTCAGCACAGAGCCCGACGCCGGGCTCGAACTCACGAACCGCGAGATCATGACCCAAGTGAAAGTCGGACGCTTAACCGACTAAGCCACCCAGGCGCCTCAAGGTAGGAACATTTTTAAGACATAATGCTATTGCACACGTAAGGACTAGCATAGAGTGTGAACGTAATCTTCATATGCACAGGCAAACCAGAAACATCCAATTGATGTGCGGTGATATTCCCTTTGTGCGGGAGTCTGGGACCAGACCTGCACTGTCTCCCGGTCACGGTGCCTGTGCAGGAAGCTCAGGACTACAAAGCTGTCGGCGGCTCTGACGGTGACAGATTAATCACTCAACATTCATTAGGACTCAATTATTGTGATTCTTTAGTGTTTTGTGGTCTCTCCTTTCATGTTCTACAAACAGGCTTGGCTGCGGGTTTGAAGATAGAACATTCTGGAAACCAGTGTAAAGTCCCCAGGGGAGGGGGCTCTTTAATCACCATTTACTCCACCATGCAGAGTTTCATTCTTCTGACTTTTCAGCCAGTGCCAGAGGCGAGAGGAGCTCTCTGGAGATTTTGCAAATGCCAGCGTGTTCACGGCGGGCCCTCCACTCTCCGGTCTGGGAAGCCTTCTCGGCGGCGGCGGCCACAGGTTGCTCCAGGGGAGCCCGTCTCCCCCATCGGACATGCCAGCTCACCGGGGGGACACCTGCCCCACACAGCTCTTGATACGTGGATGCAGAGCATCCTAGGACCACGTTCAATGTCATCAGCTTCTGTGACATCACAGAGGGACATGGCTCTCTCTGCCTAACATCTACTGATGACACGGCAAAGGGCACATGAGGCCCAGGCAGAGGCCGCTCGCGTCTCATAAACTGTGCCCTCTCTCTCTACCCCTTTCGTCGTTCAATTCAATTACAGGGCACACACCTGCCCTCCCTTTGAATAGTTTAAATTACATGTGAAATGATAGCAATCTGGAGTCTAGAAGAAAGTTGTAGGTGTTTATGTAACATTTTATGCACACACACACACAAAGTCAGCAATCCCCATGGCAACGGGCCTGCCGCCTGTGTTTCTGGAGACAATTCAAGAAGCAAGGAGGAAAGAGCAACGCCGGGTGACTGAATTTCAGGGGTTTGCAGGAAACCTTTCCAGACATAGGTAACTTCTCGTTCTCTCCCAAGTAAGGTTCTTTGTGGCTTCAAGTCATCTCAGGGGGGAAGGGGGCTTTACACCTCGCAATTGTCAAACATCTTCCTTTCAACCTTCCCTGTCTCTGTTGGCTTGAAGAATATAATTTCTTAAAGCATTTTTTTGCGTCTTGACTTAAGACCACATCTCAATGTCCTTTCCCTTCTCAAGCAAATGTCGTAAACAGGCAAAGGACAGCATAATCTGAAAAAGCACTTAATTCTCCATGGAAAGAACTACAAGGGATAGCATCACAGATGCCTGTACAACCTTCACCTAAACTGACGAATTCTGGACTGTTGCCACCCCCACTGTGCTGCTCCTTCTGCCTCCCGAGATACGCACATCGCCAATCTCAAGGTGTGGGCAGAACCGATTTCTTCTGAAGGCCTCTGTTGGTCTGCTGGTATCTGTGACCAATACGCTGAGCTCGCTGCCTTGATTTTCTCCTGTGAGTTACTGAATTAGCCCCCTGTACTCCACTGTGACCACATCCTAACTAATTCTATCTGCAATGACCCCAACCACCTGGTAAGGTCGATTCCTAGGGCACTGACCGTTAGGACAACAACGTGGAGATTTTGCACACAGGTGTTAAGTGAAGGTACCTGGGAACATGTTAGAAAAATCAGTTCTCTGGCCCAACTCCACATCTACTGAACCAGAAACTTTAGAAGTGGGTCTGGGGGCGCCTGGGTGGCTCAGTCGGTTAGGCGTCCAAGTCCTGATTTCGGCTCAGGTCATGAGCTCACAGTTCGTGGGATTGACATGAGTGGGATTCTGTGCTGACAGTGTGGAGCCTGCTTGGGATTCTCTCTCTCTCTCTCTCTCTCTCTCTCTCTCTTTCTCCCTCTCTCTCCCACTCTCTCCACTTCCCCCCGCTCCCGCTTTCTCTCTCTCAAAATAAATAAATAAATAAATAAACTTTAAGCACAAGCAGAAGTAGAGTCCAGTGACCGACATAGTAAAGGCACTGTGGGGATGCTCACGCCCCCTCCCAGGCTGGGAACCGTGGTTTACACTACTCTTGGCTGAGAGCCGTCCACGGCAGCTGAAAGCACCGGGCTGGCGGACTCCCTTCCCAGAGGAGCATCTGCATCCCGTGGGGGTGGAGGGTGAGTGGGGCATCCTGCCCTGGGGCTCTGGGCCACACCGCCACCTGCTAGCTATCTATGCTGCTATCAGACACACACACACGTCAAGGGAATATTCCCAAATCAATAGAACTACTCCACAGGCTGTCCACCGATGTATCCTTTTCATTTCGAAAACCAAGCCAGCACGTGTTCTCAGATGTTTCTCTGTCCCTGTACAGCACATAGGAGAATACAGGGAACCGTGTGAGGCTCACAGCTCTTTTGGCCAGAAACACCACACCACTGAGTTCCACGGCTCTTTCTCACATGCTGCGCAGGAGAGCTCTGAGGCCACCCTTGTTCTCTGGTTCATCGGGAGGGAGAGAGAGAAAAGATACCCACTGCTTTCTGGTCTTTCCAAACTTCCCATGCGTGCTCCCTGGAGCTCACGGGTCCTTTCAGGGTCCGACCAACATGTAACTCCTTCCACTCCGCACCTGATGCTCTGTTTCTCTTGACCCTCAGTTTAGGAGAAGCTATTTATCTGATATTTTGGAGCAAGAACCAACCTGATGAAAGATTTCCAATTTTTGCGTCCAATTCCAAAGTTAAGGGTTTCGAGCTCTTGTTTTCCATGTGTGTTATGACATCCCATTCTTCGCGGAAATCAGCATCACGTGTTCGTGTGATGGCTTGACTCTTGGGAAGAACCATGCTAGACTAAGAACCCCAACAGAAGGTGGGTTGATGGATGGATAAATACCCATGGCAGGTTGACTGAGAATGCGAAGATAACTGGTCTCTTGAGCTCGTTGGAGACTCGGTAGCCCAAGTGGTTCCTGAGAAGGAAGCCAAGTTGCTCCCAGACCCTGCAGCCAAGCTCAGCTAAGTGAAAACGGTGACTTCTCACTGTCCCCCTTAATGCCGCCGCCATGTTAGCTACCCGTCTCCCCACTGTGCATTTCAGGATGGCATAATTGGGTTTGTCAGCTGGAAGCAGTCTTGAGCTCTTCACTCTGAGAGATGCTGACACTGATCTATCAACTCTGAGAGGCAGTCTTGAGCCTAAGAAGCCAATTCTGGGAAGTGCTCATTAACGCTAATGAAATGGATGTAATTGAAGTGTGATACACTTTCTGCCGATGTGGTAACAAGGATGGGCTCCGTCTTTGAATACACCCCTCTGATGTTATCAAAGCCCTTCTTCTTTTTTTAAGAAAAGATATTAAGATATACTTATTGTGAAGTATAGACTAACTAGATTAGGTCCTTGCTCTTTGGTAAACATGAAAATTGGCCTTGATTTTAATGGCTTGTTGCCACGTTATCTGCTGCCAACATCTGGGAAGGGTGTTTCAAAGAAACAGAACCTCTTCCATGGCCAGGCAAGGCCATTATGTTCCCAACAGACACTTCTTACCTCACGTTCATGGGGACCGTGTTATTCCCTGAGAACCACAGCTGCCTTCAACGTCCGAGAGTAGGTGGGTTATAACCTGCGATTACAGATATGCCTCCGGCCATCACCCATTGGTTTTCCTCCACGTTTCTCAATGCCGTCATCACTGATTGGCATTGTGGCTCAGAATACCCTCTGTTGGGGAGAGGGAGGTTGTCCTGTGCGATGTGCAATGGGGAACACCTAGTATCATCCCCGGTCTCTACGCAGGAGACACCAGAGGAAAACTTCTCCCAGCTCTGATAACCAAGTATGTCACACGAGGTTTCCAAATGTCCCATAGGAAGGGGATACATCTGACCCCTGGTTGAGAACTGCTAGTTTTGCCTGAATGGAAGCAAGGCCATCCTTCCTCCTAAAAGATGTAGCTGTTACCATAGAGATGGAAGTTAATCAGTTGTAATACTTTCAGGTGCATCCAGCAGCTCTCAACCAGGAGTGGCTATAATGTGCCCTCCACGTGGGGCGCTGAGGGCTCAGTCGGTGAAGCATCCAACTCTTGGTTCCAACTCTGGTCATGATCTCACAATTCATGAGTTTGAGCCCCCGTCTCTCTCCCCTTCCCCCACTCTCTCTCTCTCAAAATAAATAAATAAACTTAAAAAAATTATTTAATGTGTCCTCTGTGTAACTTCAGGAAAAACATAGGTAATTAATATAAAAATAATAATTCAATTATTTACGTTTACCAAGTGCTCAAAATGTGCCCATCACAGGTTAAAATTCTCGCAATAGCCCTAAGGGTTGCTGCGATTACTCTTATCCTCATATGGAAACTGAGGCACGGAGAAGTTGAGGACCCTGTCCATGTTGCTGCCAGGAGGCCGTGGGTCTAGGATTTGAACTCAAGCATCATCTCTAGAACTTACCCCCATCCCGATGCTACCGGTGGGCATCTGCTCCTGCCTTTGCCCAGTGGATGAACCCCTTGTGTTGTAGTATTGATACCTCGGTTTCCCCTTTGTCAAATACTCTGCCTCTGCTCTCAGTCAGCACATTGTTAGTGGGATTAATCCACCACTTGCAACTTCGAAGGATAGCCTGGTGAATAAGCACATTCAAATGTTCTGGTCCCAATAAATGCATGAGGGATGGGTACGTGGCTCAAACCAACCCAAGGAGACTCAACTCCAGCTCATCTGTGACCAAAATGTCCACTTACAAATTTCTGGTGTGGTGGTCGTGGTGGTCGTGGTGGTAATATACACAGACATAAACTCCACCATCATAACCAACGTTGAGCATACAGTTCAGTGGTATTAAATTCACTCACCGCTGCCCATCTCCAGAATCCAATTCATCTTGTGAAACTGAAGCTAGTCACCCATTCAATGACAAATCCCCCAGCCCCCAGCGCCTGATGACCGTACTCCTCCTTTCTGTCTCGATGGCTGTGACCATGTACCTCCCATAAGAGGAATCATTCGGTATTTGTCATTTTATGACTGGCTTACTTCACTTTGTATGATGCCCCCAAGGTTCATTCATGTTGCAGCAAGTGCCAGAATCCCGTTCCTTTCAAAGGCTGAATCATATCCCGTTGTTATGCGTGGACTCCCCTTGCTACCCATTCATCTGTTGATGGACACTCAGGTTGCTTCTGCTTCTTGCTCGTTGTAAATAATGCAGCTGTGGGCATACGAATGTCTCTTCAGGATTCTGCCTTCAGTTCTTTGGTCACACATACACAGAAGTGCAACTGCTGGCTCATACAGTAATTTTATTTTTAGTGTTTTGAGGTGCCGCCATATTGGTTTTCACGACAGCTGCACCATTTTACACTTCCACCCAGAGGACACAAGGCTTCCCACTGTTCCACATCCTCATTGACACTTACTGTTTTCTGTTTTATCCACAGCAGCAATCCTAATGGGGGTGAGGTTACGGTATTTCATTGTAGGAGATGTGCACTTCCAAACTCTCAAGTGTTGTATGAGCTGGGAACCGCTGGAGTCACCGTGGGGGAGCTGGTAAGAGTGGGGACAGCATTAAGACAGAGGTTTGGATGATGGAGTGAGAGTCGATGAATCCCAGAATGGGTTGTTCACAGAGCTGTGGCATCTTGTGAATAATGACTTGCCAAACACGATGCAAATATGATTTTCTAGAAGCCCCAAGGGGCCATCCAAGCAGCAGTTCCAGAGGAGCCAAGATGTGGATTCTCAGGAGCAGCGGGTCTGATCCAGGCAGCAGGGGGTAAGAGCCTCTAGAAAGGCTGTGTCTCCCCTTATGATGTAGGGAATGCCATCCTCCAAAGGCTCCCCTGAGACACATTCAAAGGAAGAGACGTTTTCTTCAGGCAAGCATGTCTGGTGATCAAAATACCAGAACAAGGTGCCATTGGATGCCAATATTTTAGGGAGACGTGAGATATGGTCTTCGTCTTCTTCTATGCACTGTCCTCACAGACGGCTCCATCTGAGTGATGGTCACCATCCGTGTCTGCACCTGCTGATCCTTCCGGATTATGCTTCCAGGTCCTTCCAGATGATATTCCAGACAATAAGGTGACAGAGAAAGAAAGCCCTAGTTGACGTAAGTTAGGCTAAGGTGGCAAGGTCAGGCCTTGAGAACATGGGTTCACTCCAGAGGAAGGAAGGTGAGGGACACCGGGACCCCAGCCGGGGCTCACTGAGGGAATGGTTAGAAACTGGGCCTGAGACCCACCGCCCGCCTCTCTCCCCTTCAGTCCCCTCCTATACCGCGCATGGCCGTCTTGTCTTCATGTCCCCATTTGCAGGACCCTCCTTCCTAAATACAACAGTGCATCACCCTTCTGAAACTCACTGGAGCCTGGATGGTCACAGAGGACCCGTAGCTTCGTGAAAAGTCACCCAACACAGCTAGGAACGCAGGGAACAGGAGCTGAAGTAGGTAACGAGAGTCCAAGGAAGGTTCTGA